GGGAGGAACATGGCGGTCAGAGACGTGGAGGGATGCGGCCGGTCTCTCCCAGGCCTTCGACCCCGATGACCCAGCCGAGCGGGAGGCTTGTGGACAGGCAGGGAGCACGTGCAGGAGGCACATGGGAAAGTCACCCTGACCGACCCACCCTTTTGGGAAGGACTCCTTTCCTGAGGCCTCACCATGGCCTTTCTCTTTGTTGTCCCTTCCAGACGCATGGACAACTCCATCCACAACTGCCTCTCCTCAAACAACAACAGGTTCAGGACCCTTCACCCTCCCAGGGACCCTCTCTGCCTCTGAATCACACCCGGGATGGAACTTGACAGGAAGAGGCTCCACGTGGGCCATCCTCATCCTTGCCCTATAGGGGGTGGGGCCAGAGGAGGGTCTCTGACCAGGTTTTGTCTGACATGGTTGGCTGATGACTTGTCTCCAGTGGGCTTCTGGGAGGAGGCTCAGCCAGGACCCTCCTATTTGCTCAGTAGCAGCCCTAAAGGCCACCTGGGACCTGCTGAGACCCTGTGCTCGCTCACCCTCAGGGGGGTGAGTCTCTGTCTTCTCATGTCTGACAGAGGTCCCCTCCCCTCTGAGGGCTTTGCCTCTAGTCAGCCAGGACCATGTAGAAGAAATAGGTGGCCAAGGAGGCCATGGCCTTGGCCTGTCCCCGGAGCCATGGACCTCCACCCTGGGTGGCCCTGGTGGATATGGGGGGCAGTCCTCACCTCATGGGCAATCCTGGGGCTCCCTACCTAGGACACTCTTAGACCTGGAAGGACAGAATGTCCCCGATCCTTTCCCGGTGATGGAGATGAACCCCTGTGTGTGTCCAAAGCTGACGGCCTGCCCTTGGGCGTGGCCTGAGGGAGGCCCTGAATCTAGAACCTGCCTTGGGCATGGAGCTCAGCACAGACATGGAGTAGGTATCCTTGTGCCGTCCTCTAGATTTCGGGACCGAATCGGCTCTGGCCCTGAGGCTGGTAAATGGCGGTGACCGGTGTCAAGGCCGCGTGGAGGTCCTCTACCGAGGTTCCTGGCGCACCGTGTGTGACGACGGGTGGGACACCAACGACGCCAACGTGGTGTGCAGGCAGCTGGGCTGTGGCTGGGCCAGGTCGGCCCCAGGAAGTGCCCGGTTCGGACAGGGCTCAGGCCCGATCGTGCTGGACGATGTGGGCTGCTCAGGGCACGAGTCCTACCTGTGGAGCTGCCCACACAGGGGCTGGAACTCGCACACCTGTGGGCACGGAGAGGACGCCGGCGTCATCTGCTCAGGTGCGTCGCTACCATTCCTGTGGTCCTTCTGGGCTGATGCTGCTGAGAACACACCCACTCCCCACGCCAGGGCCCCCCTGAGCCTCATACTGTCCCCCAGGCACTGGAGTGACTCAGAGCCACAGGCTCCCAGGTGCTAGGTCTCCTGCTCAGGCTAAACGTCAGCTTGGAGGGTCCACGCGCCCAGCATCCTGAAGGCAGTGCCAGGAACTGGCTCCTAGGGGTCTGAGCTCTGTGTTCATGCACAAGAGGCAGCGTCCTGAGCACAGAGAGGAGCCTGCCATGTGCCCCCGGAGCCAGCTCACTGCCACCTGCAGGGTGTCTGGGGCTTCCACCAGGGCAGCTGGTCCCTGGGTGTGGGAGTTGGTAAGCACCTCCCCTCTGTGAGGACGGTGTCACCTGGGGGCTCCAAGATAGTGACCCAGAGGGGACACCCTGAGAGCACAGAGTTCCTTTGTGAAGGACAGAGAGAGTGAGAGGGAGCAGGGGAGGTGGGAGATGGCAGGTGGCCAATGAATGGAAGGAGCCAATGGGAGCCTTGGGGATGGGGCATTATGACCCCATGGAAAGTCTCAAAATGTGTGTAAACTCCCTTTAGCAGAATGGGTCTAGGCTGAGAAATCAGTGTGCTTATTGATTGACCCCATTTGGTGGGGTCATTACCCGTTCACCCTCTGGGGTCAACACCAGGACCCTGATGGCCTGTCCCAGGCATGACACTGGCGGGGTAAACCAGGACCCTGATGGCCTGTCCCAGGCATGACACTGGCTTCCATACACTGGACAGGAGTCCTCAGGCTCAGGGAGGCAGGCGATGGCAGGAGACAGAGGGAGTGGCTTTGGAAGGACTTCGAGGTTCGGGGCAGCACTGCTGTGTCCACCCCGAGGCCATGTGCACAGCGTCAGCTCTGTGTGTAGAAGCTGAGGGTCACCAACCCGGGATCTGGGCCGGGCACCTGGGAGCTTGGTCTGACTGTCCTTTCTTCCCACAGCTGCTCAGCCCTCCACATCCTGGCCAGGTGAGTCCCAGCCACCTCTCCTGGGATGTCCCTCTCTCCTGCCCACCTCTGCTGGTTGGCCCTCTCCAGCTGACCCATGGCTCTTTGGACCCCATCTGGACCACACTTTTGCCCTCTGTCTCCTTAACTATGGGGGTGGGGAGACTCCAAAGGCTCTGTATGTCCATCCTTCTTCTGAGTTCTCATCAGAATCTTGGTGGCCGTCCGTGGGGAGAGCGGCTGATGGTCAAGAAGTGCCTCCCCTTCCATGAAGGTGGCCCCGTGGCTCCAGGCAGAGGAGGGTTTTGTGGGATAGTGGACACTGATGCCCACTGGCTTTCTGATGACGGGACAGCAGGCTTCCTGGTTCTTTCCTCCTGTCACACCTGCCGCACCCTGAGGGCCAGCATGGTATTACCCGCATCCCAAGGGGGCAGAGACAGTGCCCGGGGATGGCAGTGAACATGTGATGAGGGTCCTCTGGGTACCAGGACCTATGATTGACTCCAGATTCAGTCACCGGGCCCTGACTCTTTCTATCCAACCTTCAGAGTCAGGCCAACACCTCAAGCCACCAGTGGGCGCCTGGCTCAAGGGGGAGAGATGGGAAAGGTCTTCTGATGGGGAGGAACATGGCGGTCAGAGACGTGGAGGGATGTGGCTGGTCTCTCCCAGGCCTTCGACCCCGATGACCCAGCCGAGTGGGAGGCTTGTGGACAGGCAGGGAGCACGTGCAGGAGTCACATGGGAAAATCACGCTGAGCGACCCACCCTTTTAAGGACTCCTTTCCTGAGGCCTCACCACAACCTTTCTCTTTGTTGTTCCTTCCAGACGCATGGACAACACCTTTCACAACTGCCCCTACTCAAACAACAACAGGTACAGGACCCTTAAACCTCCCGGGGCCCCTCTCTGCCTCTGAATCTTGTCCGGGATGGAACTTGACAGGGAGAGGCTCCTCATGGGCCATCCGAATCCTTGCCCTGTAAGGGGGTGGGGCCAGAGGAGGGTCTCTGACAAGGTCCTTGTCTGACATAGGTGGCTGATGGCTTGTCTCCAGTGGCTTCTTGGAGGAGGCTCAGCCAGGATCCTCCCCTTTGCTCAGTAGCAGCCCTAGAGGCCACCTGGCACCTGCTGAGAGCCCTGTGCTGGCTCAGCCCCAGGGGGTGTGAGTCTCTGTCTTCTCACATCATACAGAGGTCCCATCCCCTCCGAGGGCTTTGAGGCAGGACCATGGACAAGAAATAAGTGGCCAAGGAGGCCATGATCTTGGCCTGTGGCCGGAGCCATGGAACTCCACCATGGGTGGCCCTGGTGGATACGCGGGCTGTCCTCACCCATGGGCAATCCTGGGGCTCCCTAACAAGGACACCCTTAGACCTGGCAGGACAGGACGTCCCGATCCTTTCCCTGTGATGGAGATGAACCCCTGTGTGTGTCCAAAGATGACCGCCTGCCCTTGGGCGTGGCCATGAGGTAGGCCCTGAGTCAAGAACCTGCCTCGGGCATGGAGCTCAGCACAGACATGGAGGAGGTATCCTTGTGCCGTCCTCTAGGATTCGGGACCGATTCGGATTTGGCCCTGAGGCTGGTGAATGGCGGTGACCGGTGTCAGGGCCGCGTGGAGGTCCTCTACCGAGGTTCCTGGGGCACCGTGTGTGACGACGGGTGGGACACCAACGACGCCAACGTGGTGTGCAGGCAGCTGGGCTGTGGCTGGGCCAGGTCGGCCCCAGGAAGTGCCCGGTTCGGACAGGGCTCAGGCCCGATCGTGCTGGACGATGTGGGCTGCTCAGGGCACGAGTCCTACCTGTGGAGCTGTCCACATAATGGTTGGAACTCCCACAACTGTGGGCACGGAGAGGATGCCGGCGTCATCTGCTCAGGTGCGTCGCTACCATTCCTGTGGTCCTTCTGGGCTGATGCTGCTGAGAACACACCCACTCCCCACGCCAGGGCCCCCCTGAGCCTCGTACTGTCCCCCAGGCACTGGAGTGACTCAGGGCCACAGGCTCTCAAGTGCTAGGTCACCTGCTCAGAATACAGGTCAGATAGGTGCGTCCAGCGCCCAGCATCCTGAAGGCAGTGCCTTGAACTGGCTCGAAGGGGCCTGAGCTCCGTGTTCATGCCCAAGAGGCAGCGTCCTGAGCACAGAGAGGAGCCTGGCCTTGTGCCCCCGGGGCCAGCTCACTTCCACCTGCAGGGTGTCTGGGGCTTCCACCAGGGCAGCTGGCCCCTGGGTGTGGGGGTTGGTAAGCACCTCCCCTCTGTGAGGACGGTTCACCTGGGGACTCCAAGATAGTGACCCAGAGTGGACACCCTGAGAGCACAGAGGTCCTTTGTGAAGGACAGAGAGAGTGGGAGGGAGCAGGGGGAGGTGGGAGATGGCAGGTGGCCAATGAATGGAAGGAGCCAATGGGGGCCTTGGGGATGGGGCATTATGACCGCATGGAAAAGTCTCAAAATGTGTGTAAACTCCCTTTAGCAGAATGGGTCTAGGCTTAGAAATCACTGTGCATATTGATTGACCCCATTTTGTGTGGTCATTCCCCGTTCACCCTCTGGGGTCAACACCAGGACCCTGATGGCCTGTCCCAGGCATGACTCTGGCTTCCATACACTAGACAGGAGTCCCCAGGCTCAAGGAGACAGGCGATGGCAGGGGAGTGAGGCAGTGGCTTTGGAAGGACTGGGAGGTTCGGGGTAGCACTGCTGTGTCCCCCATGACGCCATGTGCACTGCGTCAGCTTCCTGTGTAGAAGCTGAGGGTCATCAACCTGGGATCTTGGCCGGGCACCTGGGAGCTTGGTGTCTGACTGTCCTTTTTTCCCCACAGCTGCTCAGACCACCACATCCTGGCCAGGTGAGTCCCGCCACCTCTCCTGGGATGTCCCTCTCTCCTGCCCACCTCTGCCGGTCGGCTCTCTCCATTCACCAACCCGGGATCTGGGCCGGGCATCTGGGAGCTTGGTCTGACTGTCCCTTTCTTCCCACAGCTGCTCAGCCCTCCACATCCTGGCCAGGTGAGTCCCAGCCACCACTCCTGGAACTCCCTCTCTCCTGCCCACCTGTGCCTGTCGGCCCTCTCCTGCTGACCAATGGCTCTTTGAATCCCATCTGGACCACACTTTTGCCCTCTGTCTCCTTATCTATTGGGGTGGGGGTATTCCAAAGACTTTGTCTGTCCATCCTCCTTCTGAGTTCTCATCAGATACTTGACGACCATCCTGGGGAGAGCGGCTGATGGTCAGAGAAGTGCCTCCCCTTCCATGAAGGTGGCCCCGTGGCTCCAGGCTGAGGAGGGCTTTGTGGGATAGTGGACACTGATGCCCACTGGCTTTCTGATGACGGGACAGCAGGCTTCTGGGTTCTCTCCTCCTCTCACACCTACCGCACCCTGAGGGCCAGCATGGTCACACCCACATCCCAAGGGGGCAGAGACAGTGCCCGGGGATGGCAGTGAACATGTCATGAAGGTCCTCTGGGTACCAGGACCTGTGATTGCTTCCAGGTTTAGTCACCAGGCCCTGACTCTTTCTATCCAAGCTTTAGAGTCAGGCCAAAGCCTCAAGCCACCAATGAGTGCCTGGCTCAAGGGGGAGAGATGGGAAAGGACTTCTGATGGGGAGGATCATGGTGGTCAGAGACGTGAAGGGATGCGGCTGGTCTCTCCCTGGCATTCGACCCCGATGATCCAGCAGAGTGGGAGTTTTGTGGACAGGCAGGAAGCATGTGCAGGAGGCACATGGGAAAGTCACGCTGAGCGACCCACCCTTTTGGGAAGGACTCCTTTCCTGAGGCCTCACCACTACCATTCTCTTTGTTGTCCCTTGCAGATTTATGGACAACTCCTTTCACAACTGCCTCTACTCAAACAACAACAGGTACAGGACTCATCACCTTCCCAGAGGCCCTCTCTGCCTCTGAATCACACCCGGGATAGAACCTGACAGGAAGAGGCTCCCCATGAGCCATCCTCATTCTTGTCCCTGTGGCCAGGTCTTTTTCTGACATGGTTGGCCTATGACTTGTCTCTAGTGGGCTTCTGGGAGGAGGCTCAGCCAGGACCCTACCCCGTTGATCAGTAGCAGCACTAGAGGCCACTGGCACCTACTGAGAGCCCTGTGCTGGCTGACCCTCTGGGGGTGTGAGTCTCTATCTTCTCATGTCTGACAGAGATCCCATTCCCTCCGAGGGCCTTGCCTCAATTCAGGCAGCACTATGGAGAATAAATAACTGGCCAAGGCGGCCATGGTCTTGGCCTGTCCCTGGAGCCATGGACCTCCACCATGGGTGGACCTGGTGGATACGGGGGCAGTCCTCACCCCATTGGCGATCCTGGGGCTCCCTTCCTTGGAGCACCCTTAGACCAGGCAGGACAAGACGTCCCAATCCTTTCCCTGTTATGGAGATGAACCCCTGGGGTGTCCAAATATGACCGCCTGCACTTGGGCATAGCCATGATGTAGGCCCTGAGTATAGAACCTGCCTCAGGCCTGGAGCTCAGCACAGACATGGAGGAGGTGTCCTTGTGCCGTCCTCTAGGATTCGGGACCGATTCGGATTTGGCCCTGAGGCTGGTGAATGGCGGTGACCGGTGTCAGGGCCGCGTGGAGGTCCTCTACCGAGGCTCCTGGGGCACCGTGTGTGACGACAGTTGGGACACCAACGACGCCAACGTAGTGTGCAGGCAGCTGGGCTGTGGCTGGTCCATGTCGGCCCCAGGAAGTGCCCGGTTTGGACAGGGCTCAGGCCCGATCGTGCTGGACGACTTGGGCTGCTCAGGGCATGAGTCCTACCTGTGGAGCTGCCCGCACAGGGGCTGGAACTCCCACAACTGCAACCACGGAGAGGACGCTTGTGTCATCTGCTCAGGTGCGTCCCTACCCGTCCCTGGTGGCCCTTCTGGGCTGATGCTGCTGAGAACACGCCCACTCCCCAGGCCAGGGCCCCCATGAGCCTCGTACTGTCCCCCAGGCACTGGAGTGACTCAGGGCCACAGGCTCTCAAGTGCTAGGTCACCTGCTCAGAATACAGGTCAGATAGGTGTGTCCAGCGCCCAGCATCCTGAAGGCAGTGCCTTGAACTGGCTCGAAGGGGCCTGAGCTCCGTGTTCATGCCCAAGAGGCAGCGTCCTGAGCACAGAGAGGAGCCTGGCCTTGTGCCCCCGGGGCCAGCTCACTCCCACCTGCAGGGTGTCTGGGGCTTCCACCAGGGCAGCTGGCCCCTGGGTGTGGGGGTTGGTGAGCTCCTACCCTCTGTGAGGACGGTGTCACCTGGGGACTCCAAGATAGTGATGCAGAGGGGACACCCTGAGTGCACAGAGGTCCTTTGTGAAGGACAGAGAGAGTGGGAGGGAGCAGGGGGAGGTGGGAGATGGCAGGTGGCCAATGAATGGAAGGAGCCAATGGGAGCCTTGGGGATGATGGGGCATTACCCCATGGAAAAGACTTGAAATGGGTGTAAACTCCCTTTAGCAGAATGGGTCTAGGCTGAGAAATCAGTGTGCATATTGATTGACCCCATTTGGTGGGGTCATTACCCGTTCAGACTCTGGGGTCAACACCAGGACCCTGATGGCCTGTCCTAGGAATGACACTGGCTTCCATACTCTGGACAGGAGTTCTCAGGCTCAGGGAGACAGGCAATGGCAGGAGACAGAGGGCGTGGCTTTGGAAGAACTATGAGGTGCGGGGCACACTGCCATGTCCCCCCTGATGCCATGTGCACAGCGTCTGTAGAAGCTGAGGGTCACCAACCCGGGATCTGGGCTGGGCACCTGAGAGCTTGGTGTCTGACTGTCCCTTTCTTCCCACAGATACTCAGGCCTCCACATCCTGGCCAGGTGAGTCCCAGCCACCACTCCTGGAACTCCCTCTCTCCTGTTCCCCCTCTGCCTGTCGGCCCTCTGCAGCTGACCCATGGCTCTTTGGACCCCATCTGGACCACACTTTTGCCCTCTGTCTCCTTAACTATGGGGTTGGGGGGATTACAAAGACTCTATTTGTCCTTCCTCCTTCTGAGTTCTCATCAGATACTGGCGGCCGTCCCGGGGGAAGAGTGGCCGATGGTCAAGAAGTGCCTCCCCCTTCCATGAAGGTGGCCCCGTGACTCCAGGCTGAGGAGGGTATTATGGGATAGTGGACACTGATGCCCATTGCCTTTCTGATGATGGGACAGCAAGCTTCTGGGTTCTCTCCTACTGTCACACCTGCCGCACCCTGAAGGCCAGCATGGCCACTGCATCCCAAGGGGGCAGAGACAGTGCCCGGGGATGGCAGTGAACATGTGATGAGGGTCCTCTGGGTAGTGGGACCTGTGTTTGCCTCCAGGTTCACTCACCAGGCCCTGACTCTTTCTATCCAACCTTCAGAGTCAGGCCAACATATCAAGCCCACCAGTGAGTGCCTTGCTCATGGAGGAGAGATGGGAAAGGTCTTCTGATGGGGAGGAACATGGCAGTCATAGACCTGGAGGGATGAGGCTGGTCTCTCCCAGGACTTTCACCCCGATGATCAAGCGGAGCAGGAGGCTATGGACAGGCAGGGAGCACGTGCAGGAGGCACATGGAAAAGTCACGCTGACTGACCCACCCTATGGGAAGGACTCCTTTCCTGAGGCCTCACCATGCCCTTCTTCTCTGTTTTCTCTTCCAGATGCATGGACAACTTCTTCCACAACTCCAACCACAACTGCCTCTACTCAAACAACAACAGGTACAGGACCCTTAAACCTCTCAGGGCCCCTCTCTGCCTCTGAATCACGCCCGGGATGGAACATGAGAGGAAGAGGCTCCCCGTGGGCCATCCTCATTTTTGTCCCTGTGGACAAGCAGAGGAGGGTCTCTGACCAGGTCCTTGTCTGACATGGGTGGCTGATGACTTGTCTCCAGTGGGCTTCTGGGAGGAGGCTCAGCCAGGACCCTCCCCTTTGCTCAGTAACAGCCCTAAAGGCCACCTGGCACGTGCTGAGACCCCTGTGCTGGCTCAGCCTCAGGGGGTGTGAGTCTCTGTCTTATCATGTCTGACAGAGGTCCCATCCCCTCCGAGGGCTTTGCCTCAAGTGAGGCAGGACCATGGAGAAGAAAAGAGTGGACAAGGAGGCCATGGTCTTGGCCTGATCCCGGAGCCATGGACCTCCACCCTGTGTGGCCCTGGTGGATACGCGGGCTGTCCTCACCCCACGGGCAATCCTGGGGCTCCCTAACTAGGACATCCTTAGACCTGGCAGGACAGGACATCCCGACCCTTTCCCTGTGATGGAGATGAACCTCTGTGCGTGTCCAAAGATGACCGCCTGCCCTTGGGCGTGGCCTGAGTTAGGCCCTGAGTCAAGAACCTGCCTCAGGCCTGGAGCTCAGCACAGACATGGAGGAGGTGTCCTTGTGCCGTCCTCTAGGATTCCGGACCGATTCGGATTTGGCCCTGAGGCTGGTAAATGGCGGTGACCGGTGTCAGGGCCGCGTGGAGGTCCTCTACCGAGGCTCCTGGGGCACCGTGTGTGACGACGGGTGGGACACCAACGACGCCAACGTGGTGTGCAGGCAGCTGGGCTGTGGCTGGGCCATGTCGGCCCCAGGAAGTGCCCGGTTTGGACAGGGCTCAGGCCC